ACAGTACTACTTAGTTTATGCAATCTCTAATAACAATTATGAGGAAAGGATCCATATGACTTGCGAATAATGTAGTCTTCTCCACTTCTTGGTTCTTGCTAGGAATAACAAGACCCTCAAGCCAAGAATCCTAGCTAACTTCTCTGCCGCCTCCTCTCTCATTTTATAGCTAAAAATCAGGTAATGGACGACCAATTCTTCCTTTCCAAGAAACTCATCAACCCAGACATCCCTATCTAGAGGATAATTGCTAGAATGTGAAATGAATGAGGAATCCAACATAAGCTAACACTCCACATTAAACGTTGCGCTTCTTAATAAACAACTCACAGTAGTTACTTCTTTCAACACTTTGTTTATATGAATCATGGATACGGTTCGAGCACCCTCTCAGTGTTGGTACCACACTGGCAGGAGAAATTTTCTATTTTGCCCCTCTGCAATAATTTTTTCTAAAGATAAATCTTTTACACGAAATAGGCAGTATTACCCTGAAAATCCAGTCTTGGGTTGGTATCACATGTCAACACTTTGACACGTGCCGTATACCTCCAGACATGAGATCTAATAAAAAATTATATGAAGTACAGGCCTGGGGTTCAAACCCAGGACCCTTGTACAGGAACCATATGCTCTACAACTTTGCCTAGCACTCTCTCGTGTAACAAATATGCAAACCTTATTATATGTACTTTAAAACGTTATTTTATTCTTAAATAAGAAGTGTGCATAAACATGTCTTCCTGTGCTTGCTTTTTAGGATTCAAGTACTAGACAACTTCTAAATGTGTGAGACACCAACACATGTAACACCGGGAATCAGTATTTGAAATACCAATATCATGTTTTTCTATGTAAAGAAAAAAACTGCTAGAGATATTCAAACACATAGTGATTTTATTTTAAAAAAATTAAAAGAAAAACTCCGTAGTAACATCACCAATTACAAATTTCATGTGACGCATTACGTTTGGGAAAGAAATTGCCCAACACCAATTTAGGATTCAGTCACCCTGCATCTCCATCATAGTGGAATTCCCAAAGTTTCAACCTAATCTCCAACGTGACAAAGCCATCACATCACTTAGGAGTCGTTTGGGTACTTGAAAATTTATTACGGTGAAATGGATTAGGAGGAAATGCCTCATCTCTGCCGTTTGGGTATGCACTGAAATGTGGGAGACAGAAATCGATTACCTAAGATTACAGGGAAATGGTCCTCAAACCATGAAATATATTTTCCAGCAAAGAGGGTGAAAAATAAATTACGGGACTCGACAGGTAAACATCAGACCTGCTGAAGATATTAAATCCCCTCTATAGATTGAGGTCCGTGTAAAATATCTCTCAGTACCAAGCCTCCTCCGACTGGTGTGGCCAAATCCCCTTTCAACCACACCTAATTCTTCCTCATCAAATCGATTACCTATCTAGTATTTCGAGAAATGATGAGTCGTATCGTCATTCTCCACATCCAGACCTATCCAAGTATATGACGCAAAGCTCAAGAGTGGCTGTAATCCACAAAGGTGCTGGTCATCTTAAAATAACTCGTAAGTTTCAAATCAATCAGCAATCCTAAAGCCTGTCATTCAATGGAATCCATTATATGAAAAATGAACTTATGAATGCAACTATATACTCATATCCTCATGAGATCATAATTACTGAGAAAACCAAGTACAACAGAAATTAATAATATCCAATTTCATGATAAAGAAGTACCAAGCCTAGTGACATATTAAACTCCACAAAAGCTCACATTTGCTTATGTGGCCATCAAAATATGAACTCACATCGATATCAAAAGTTCAAATATGCTTACTCAAAACAAAATTAGATCAACAGCATGCCGTTGATGTACAGAATTCCAACAAATACAAGAAGAATCAACATTCATATGGAACTCAAAAAGTGTCTAGAACTAGTATGGCATCCAAACAAATAATCCAGACAATATAGTCGAACTTGAGACCAACCAAAGTCAAGAACACTAGGCTGAGTCTTATAATATGTGAGCGAGTTTCATTCTAGACTCACCCAGTGCATTCATATTATTCTAGGCTGTCTCATAAACACGCAAGCGAGTTTCATTATGAGTCTCTCTCTCGATCTCTTGATACTCAAACAAAAGAATCCAGACAACTTGTAAACACTCGAGCAAGTCTAGTTAAAGACTCAACCAGTGCATAATTTGATGCAGTGAAATTCATTCTCTCTCTCTCTCTC